TGTAGACTTATGATATTGGATACATAAATGATTGAATCTAGTGCAAGTGGGAGTTTGTAAGTATTATGCCCCAGGTCCAATCAACTTTGGACATAAATACTTTTGATATATAATTAATACAATTTAATAGCAGATCTATTATTTAATTAATAGACAATTAAATAAATAATAGAGTCCGTAGATTCAAATCTTCGTAATTTATTTATCACAAGGAGTTGTGATTGTGAGATACAAATTACATCTGATTGAGTCTTAAATCGTCCGTGATCGTAAGTAATAACGAGATATGGATATCGTTATTACGGATAGACCATCACGTGTGGCGTTTCTTACTTATGAAGTAAGTAGCTGATCTCACAAGCTAAAGTGTGATGACACTTAAATGAACACGTGGATGTTTTGTTATAGAACAAAACATTGGAGACCCGTCGAGAGATTTCACATGGATAACTATCTGAGTGTCAGTGGTTAATCTCTAATGTTCGGTAGTGGAATTGGTCTTTTGACTTGAGGTCGTCATGGTACCTTATATGAGGACAGTCATACTTTGGCGGTGTTGGATGTTGCTCCGCAAAGGGCCGCTAATACGACATCGTTCATGTATGTCAAGAATCGTATGAAGGTTGTGAATGACCAATAAAGGATTCGTCACTCTTAGATAGTAAGAGATCATGATCTGCATTTCATTCAATTAAGTCGATAACGAAATCCTTGGCCAAGGTATACTCATAAGTCGAAAAGGAGTTTTAGACTTATATTGACTTAATAGTGATTTGAAAGATATGATCGATATTCTGGATTGACACACTTCCATATCTCGTAATTGATTGGATCATATTGATGAAGGGATTATAGTTTCACGGTAAACGAACGAGTTTGGTTTTGTCATACCACATAACATTTCCCGTTACATGTAATGCATTGACACATTGCTAGATGTCAATTTAGAACGGCAAGTGTGAATTAGTGATCAATTAAAATGGTGTTTTAATTTATCAATTTTGATTGGATCAAAATAATATTTCACGTCGTTAGACATCGTGATCGGGATCTGATGGGTCGCACACAAAAGAGAATTGGAAGATTGCAATTTATTAATTAATTAATTTAACAATCGTTGGATAAATTAATTAATTGGGTTGGTTATTTATAGACCCGAATTAATTAATTGGATTAATTAATTCACGGACTGAATTTAATTAAATGGATTAATTAAATATTGGACTCGACCAGGTCAGGCTCGTTAGGGCTTATATAAATACATGGCTAGAGTTTTCAATTCAGATGGTTTTTTCTCATAATTATTCTTGCTAGCACAAGAGGAGAAAACCCTGTAGCTGCAATCTTGTTCTCTGTGTGGATCACCATTGGAGGCTGAACAATTGGACAGCTGTGGGTGGCAAATCAAGATTGTTGGAACAAAAAAAATAGCAAAGAAGTTTGCAGATTTGGAAAAGGTACAATCTTATCACAATTTCTATCTAAACACAAAGACGATTCTTGGTGGGAATCGAAATCTATTTAAATTTTCCGCTTTGTATGTTAAGCAGATTCCCAACACATTAGACGATTCTATTGTACGAAATCTCAATCAATGTTCACAGAGCAATACGATTCCACTGCTTATGCCCTTGTTCTACTTTTTTGGGCAAATATAATGCCAATTAAAAAAAAAAATTACTTTTGCCCTCTTCTTTTAGACCAAAAGTTATTATTATTATTTTTTTGGTTTAAATTCACACAATTATTCAGATCCCAAGGATCAATATTATAAAAAAGAAGCAATAAGAAAAATCGAATGTAAAGAACAAAAGTTATCACCAAAAAAAAAATAAAAAATCGTGAAGATATTCTTGGAAAAAAAGGTACTCACAGCCTTCTCACGAGTCCCAGGTTCAACATGAAATCCTTGCCTTGATACCGTTAACGAATTATTTCATTAATAGCCCATCAATTTATACCGTCCATTTCAACAATCTACCTCAATAAACAGGTGAATAAATGAAAAATCAGCATAACAACCGCACATAAACCATACGCGTGTACCTGAGAATGAATTTGTAGCTTAGAGAGGGCACTATTGTTCAATAAAAATCCCAGTAGAATCAACCAAAAAACGTAGTGTGTAATGTGAGTCTTTTGGCTGAATGTGCCGTGCAATTATTACGGAAAAATTTGCACTATTGATCCAGTTAAGAAATAAAAAATAAATAAAAAAATTGCACATTTTGTCACTAATATTTGGAAACTTTTACTACTTTATCCACAACTTACAAACTATATCAATTTGTCACCAATCTTTGCTGACCTTTGCAAAATTAATCTATTTTAATGTTTTTCATCTTATGTTAAAACACCATGTGAATTTTACATAACTTTATTCCCATTGGCAAAAATAGTCGCACCCCACTTTATAATATATCATTTCCCTCCAAAACTGTTCACAACCATTCCAAATTCATTCTTGATTAGTTTTATTAATCCCAAAAGAGCTATTTTAATTCTATGACATGTGTAAATTTTGCTGTTAATGTCATATAATTTGCTAAACTTCTGTAATAATTATGTTAGAAATCAAGTGGTAAAAAATTATCCACATTATTTATTGAATTATAGTGTAAGTCAACTTTTGTTCGTTGACCCACCTCTCGCTCCAAACTCATTTAATATAAAATCAGGCTGCCCCTCTATTTGTTATTTCTCTATGTCTTATATTTAATTTTTTGTTATTGGAGGGTTGATAATGATATATATGACAGATAGGGGTGAAGTTGAATATATATAACGAAATAAACATGTAAATGTTTGCATCATGATTTAGTTTTCTCTTCTTCTTCTTAGAATGAAACTTCTTAAATGTTTGCATCATGACTTCTAAAATGCACGTGTTATAGATCTATCGGTTGGCACAAAAAACTCAAATTTACATTTGGTCGTGAAATTCAGAACTTGGCAACATTTAGCAAAAGCGAGTGAAGTATAAGGCTTATACAACGCAGAATAACAATTTCTAAAACGAGAAGGTATAGCTGAACAATCAGGACCATGATGGTGATGATGGCGGTGATCACCTTCAAGTTCATGACCTGAATGAGGGTCGACTCCACGGGTAAACTTTTCTTGTATGCCAAAAAAATAATAAGGTTACTATGATCTTTGCCATGTCTATGCAAAAAAATGTAGCTTTCTCTTCTTCTTAGAATGAAATCTTTATTCTCGATTTTATGAGAATTTTTATGGAAGTTTTTGCTTCTCTTTAGGTGGAAGTTACTTTTGCCCATGGACACGCACATCTATACAAGGATTATGTCAACGATTATACATATTTCTTACTTTAGTGTATGTTTTAACGTTTCTTTCACTTTTTAAATGTTGGATCTCTAACTTCTGGGTTTTTGCTATGCCCACACTTCAAGAAACAACCTTATCATACTTAACGAAGAATTTGTCTATTCTTAATTCTATCAACTCAACCTTTCAAGCTCCTATAAAGTACTTAGCTATTCAACTCTCTATCCTTTGCGACACTAGATATGTCAGTCTCTAAACAATTTATGGAACTTTAATGTGTGTTAGATGGTACAACTGAAAATGAAACATAGAAAGGCAAATTTTACTAACACGAGAAATAGAGACTAGGGAGCAAAATATTAGCTTTGTTGCTACTATGCTCTCACAGGTTTGTTACTTTGAAATGAGATCCCTTGCACATTTATACTTCTACATTCTCAAAATCAATGTTGATATCAAATCTATCTAACGGTCAGGAAATAAGCTCTAGACTCTTATTCTAATTAGGATATTTATACAAGAATTTTCTACGAAAAAATTGTCTCTACAATCTTCTACAATTATCTAACCACTTAATATTTTAGAATATTGTCTCTTGTGCTTTCTCCAAATTTTGCGTGCCTATAGCATTCTATAATCTTTCATAAAACATCTTCCATGAACGTTTCTCGACAATACTAAAATCTTCTTGGATGCACGCACCAACTCAAAATTTACGTTGTTCATGCTTCCAGCTTCTTCACTTCCTGTACAGCCTTCGTCCCCTATGTTTGTCTTCGACTATATTTGCATGAGCCTCGTAGGCCTTTCTTTCAGGCAAGAGTGTTGTGTATTACCACATTCTCAGGTCTGCAGCCACATAACGAGGGTTACGTACTATGTTTCAAATACAAAGGTGTAAATAAAATCAAACTTCAGGTGTTTTATTCTTGAAATGGAAGATTCCATGTCTAATTGATAAGAATATGACATTTACTCAGATGAGTTTGAACCAAAAATTCATATTTATCCTAGCATTGCATGAAAAGTATAAAATAATAATAATAATAATAATAATAATAATAATAATAATAATAATAATAATAATAATAATAATAATAATAATAATAATAATAATAATAATCAAACCAACCCAAAGAGAATGCACTAGCAGTGTTCCAAAATTCAATGTTGAGTGGACTCTTTTTTGCACAGAATAGTCTTTCTGGTCCTCCTGCATGAAGGCTATACAATCCCCCAGCAAACAGTTTACAATATCAAATTCGCGGTACTGCTGCTAATTTCTGCATAATACTTGTATCCAATCTCCTTCACAGACACACACACACATTAGTTACAACTTACAACTATTCCGGCTCAATATAAGCCCACTGTATCAAGCTCAGCATCTGCATTTACAAATACCTTGCTATTCCTGCATGACAATTGCTTGCCGTAATTCTTCTTATTGAGAATCATCTTGAATACACTGAACAAGATTTTCCATCTTCTCTGAGCATTATAAAGAGGAACTACTGGACAAGGTAGAAAACAATTTACGGCGCTTTGTAAATCAGCTGATGACTGCATGTCTGAATCCTGAAGTGAACCTGTACCAAAACACTTCAACTGCTCATATGCACAAAATGCTTGACTCATGGACTCCGCATTGCAAAGTAAGGTTTTTGCAACTTGAACATGAATATTGGAAGGTTGCTCAAGCATAATATTCACAGGGTCGACACTATGAAAGTATTCGTCCAGGTATGAAAGTATCCGTCCTGGTTACTCAAGCCTCTAATAGAATACTTAGATTGCATAATATGAGGCAAAGACACGTTCTGCTGCAAATAGGAAAAATTGTTGAAGTTTTGAGAACTTAAAACCTTATTGCCATTAGAACTCCCTTCCAGTTGTAGGTATGAAGAAGATTGTTCAATGGATAAGCGTGGGACAAGATCCATAAGAGAAGCCTCATCGTCAAAAGTGACGACTTTCTCCCGATCTCTATATGCAGATATTACCAAGTTATGGGCATCAGCCTGGACGAGAAATGGGCAATACTTTGTTCAGAGAGAATTATAAATCCAAGAAACAAAAGACATAATTGAACAATAAATGGAAGATTTCAATAAGAAAATAGAAAAGGAAGCATGCCTTCTTTGTTTCAGACAGCTTATCACTGGGAATATACTGGCCTTCGTTACTTGTCCTACAACATTAAAAACAACACCAATCTTTTGCTGAGATCCAGAAGGAGTGTACAAGTGCAATTTCTTGTCAAGCACGCATGCCTGAGCAAGCTCAATATAACTTCCCACATTTTAGTAGACATACCAGTCCCAAGGATCTAGAGGAATTGCAACATACAAACTACTATAATTCCTTAACAAATTATAAAGCACATTACGGGGAAAGCAAACGACAAGGAAATGGATGTTGGTAAAGTATTAACAAGTGTAATGAACACAACAACATAAAAATCCTAGTCAAGAGGATGAAGCCGTGTGAGGAAATGCAACATGGAAATGTAATATAATCCACATAATATAAAAGCCTTAAAACGAATTATCATTTGTGATGCAAAAGAGATTACTATTGTAATATGTTTTTATCATAAGCAAAAATAGTAGTATTGATTATTGATTGCACAAAGCTCCAAGAAAAATAAAGTAGTTTGAATCTGCAGAAAACAGTTCTTATATTATAAAATCAGGAAGTCCTTCATAGTTTTTACTCTTTCCTGGCTCAGGCATTTGTGAAAAGCTCCATCCTTTCCAATTTTTTCCAGCCGCCAGACTTCATCAAAAAGAAACGGAGGGTAGTGCTTCTTGTATGCTAGAGGAAAACTAGTCAATCAATATTTTCATACAGTAATTTTTATAACAACAATGATATGCAAATTATCAAATGTAACAATAATCCCTTCCTCAATTTTTATTTTTTTATTTTTTTTGTACATTCAGACCAATAAATAGGGTTGGACAAAATGTCCAGACCAGACCAAACCAAACCAAACCGAGTGATTTGGTTCGGTTCTACGAAAAAAATTAATGGTTTTGATTCTTCGAACCGAAAACCATTTGGTTCCGATTCCTGTTCGGTTCTAATGCTAGAAGCAAGAACCAAACATAATTTATAATTATATTTTTTGTATGAATCTAATTTTATATTAATGGAAGTCAGTCAGCCAATTAAACGTATTTAGCTCATTAATTTTTTTCTCTAATAGCCATAGCCGTCTAGCCCAAAGGGTTAAGAGAAACCCAAATTCCCAATTCCAATTTGTCTCTCAACATTCACCGTCTCACTCTAGTCATCGACGTCGCCTTCCAATCCATCATTGTATTTGTCTCTAAGGACACTTTGAATTTTGAGGTAGTGAAGTTTGTTTGTTTATAAATACACATAATTTCTAAACGAAAGTTGACTCTTTTGTTGGAATATCTTCATTTTTAGAATTTTTCGAAATTCACCTTTACAATGCCACGGTAGAGGAAAATAGGCAGTACCACCATCACTTTTCCCAATTTGCACAAAGACATCATCATCCCACACCATTCCTCGTTTAGACAGTGCCACTTTTCCTTGTTTGCACACGGACATCATCCCACATTTGGACAAAGGAGGATATTGAACTCGATATTATTAACTTCAACCAAGCTACAGTGTCCACAAGGATGATCGCACAGTTGACACAACACACACACATGGGTCAGGATTATTTTATTCATGGGGGACCCACGCCTGGGCCATGAGTGCGCTGTCATCCTCGCAATAACGGGGGTTGATTGGCTTAATTCTATTAACTTTTGGCAATGACTCATTGGTTTATATTTTATTTGTTAATTTAGACTTTTATAACCTGATTATTGATAATTTGAACTTGTTAAATGTTTGATGCTTATATTTTTTATTTAAGTACATATTACTAACTTATAAATATTGTGCAAGACTGAAAACTTAAGTAATAATATTAGTCTACTAGAACCAGACCAAACCAAAACCAAATGGTTTGGTTTTGTTTGGTTCCACTTTTTAAAAAAAAAAACATCGGTTCCATTATCAAAAAAATCATTGGTTCATGGTTCTGTTTGGTTCTCTTGGAACCAGAACCAAATGGAACCACGTTCACTCCTACCAATAAGTCCATCGATTGTTATAAAAAAGAACCAAATCACTTGAACCTAGATAATTTGCCCACAGAAATCTTAGTAATGAACAGTGGTGTTATAACTAAAGATTGAAGAACTCGAATTAGAAAAAATATTAAATTGAAGATGTTTGTAATGAAAATTAATATATGTAAAAATCTACTATTTGTTACGAAAACGCCATCAAAGCACGAACAAACAACATTAATTGAGATTTTACGGACTGCATTATGCTTAATTTGAGGCCAACTTAAAAAAAAAAAAAAAAACACTTATAAGTTCAATAAAAGCTAGAAGAAAATAAAAAGGAATAGAAATTTTGTTCATTGCATTATTCTCAACACTAAATGATGCAAAAAAGATTTCATTATAAAAATGAAGTCAAGATAATGTATTGAGGCAAAAATGAATAAACAAACATCCAGTAAAGAATCATACTCAATGTTTTTTGGAGGGTACAACAATTCCTATAGTGGATAGCAACACCTTCGACCATTGACAATTCAAAAATAAAATTCGAATCCATTAAATTTTGATGGTTCACATGAAATGTCATCAAGACAGAAGATGTGCATTTTGATAACCTAGGTAGTAAATTTCACTGCAACAGATTGGAATATTGCATTCTGAAATAAGGAAATGATATCAAGGATAGCTTAGATCCACAAACATATCTTGATGGTTCACCATACTCATTGTTATGAATATAGTACAACTAATCTACAAATAAACCGTGACAGGAATATTGTACTCGTAAACGAGTAATATCCCTCCATTTTTCTAGAAGTAACTATAATTATGGAAAGGAGAAAGCAATTAAACCACTCACATTCTCCTCAGTGATCCCTAACAACGCAGGATTCTGATCTGGCTTCTCTTGTTCTGATCCCATCAATGCAGTCTGCAACTTTCGCCCCAAGCTTGAACTTACGTCTTCTCGTCCAGCTTGAGTTGTCAGTAAAAGGATATATCACCTAGCACACCTATGCCATCTTGAAGATTCAAAAATACATCCCCAGTCAGAAGAGATTTCTTGCCTTTCCTCGCTTTCACTATATTATTTTTAAATTCTTCAAATGTCCAATTTTCTCCTTCATCACCATCAAAATCTCCCTCAAGAACTACTATTTCCATTGTTGCAGAGCATTATGGACCACTAGAAACAAGTTGGCCAGTGAGAGAATCAACCAAAGCTACTTTCAAAGTATTCCATTCTTCTGCTTCAATCAGGGTCCTGGTCAATACTGGGAGAGTTATAGCAGGGTGGAACCAGGAATTTTATCCAATGCGGGCAAAATTTAATTAAAGTCGAACTTTTCGGTCATGGATTTAATGATATTACAACAACTCTAAAAATGATATAACGATAACATTAATAAGATGATCATCTTCTTCCTTATTTTAGGATCAGTAGAAAGTTATGTAACATCAAAATCTATTTTATTCGATATTTCCTCATCAACATTTTCTGCGAACGATTTTCTTTTAAAGAACCTCTCCATTGGCACTTCACACTAAAATAAACCACAAGTGACAATTAAATACTAATTGATAAGAAAATAACTACTAATATTTACAAATTGATAGAACACCAGAAAATCAGCACTCATTGTTTAACTAATTGATAATAATCAAGATTTCAAGAATCCATCACAATATTACCAATATTCAATTAAGAAAGTTTTTGTTGCAAATTTGAGGGTCCAAAGAAATGTGGCTTTAAGGAAAGAAATGAACTTTGAAAATATTTTCTTCAAAAAAAATGGCTATAATTTTCTCTTGGGTTTCAACTTTTTCATTTTGGATTGAGGTAAATTAGTATATGGGTTAGGCTATAAATAAATGAGATACCCAGTACTTCAACCAAAAAATACCCAATACTTCAACCCAGAGAGAGAACAAAAAAAAAAAAAAAAAAGAATTGGACTGAGTCCAGCCCGCACCCTTGAGTTATAGCATGCAAGAAATGTAACTGTAAGCACCTTGATTCATTATGCTGTATGTCTTTCCCATGACTCATAGAAAGATAAAAAATGAAATCAGAGACTAACAGGATGAGCAAAATCAATATCAAGATCACGATACAGTAATCCAGTTTTAATAATATTAGTTATTTGACTATAGAATCCAATGCCATATCGTTTTATGCTGTTCACATATTTTGTTAATGCTGAGTCAACTTCCTCTTTCACATGTAAGCTCATATTGAATGAATCACTTAATTTCAATAAAGAGGCATTACAGTGAGTCTTAATATTTTATGGAAGCACTAAAAAGTAAATCACCTGACGGACTACATATCTGTGAAGTATTCACATTCCGAGAAGAGAACATATGCATACATTTAAGCAAGTAATAAATTCAATCAGAGTAGTCTAGAACCTTCCACAACCATTTGATACAGTTTCTGGAGATTTTAGAAGCAAAGATATAAGCACATGCAAGTCTAGTTTTCAGGAACTGTCTGAAGATGCACAACATTTTGTCTGCTCTCAAAGAAATATATTCTTAGGACACACATGTAAACAAAAAAACTATGTAAATTTATCAAGAAAAGAGTCAGTAACATCGTAAACAGCTTTTTTTATAAGATCATCTAAAATTATTAAACTACACAGGTTATGTGTTAACAATCTCGATCTCTTAGAACTATTGTATTCAGTCTGGCTCCAAACCTACCACTAATGCTGTATGTTGAAGCATTCATCATCTCCCAAACCACCTATAACCAATATAACATTTACACAAGCAGTCCAGGTTGGTTGACCAATCTTACTCTTTCTGTCTGATTTATGTCTTACCCTTTTTAGACAAAGATCTATCACACTTGTTCAACCTTTCTGCCAATCGAAATTTAGTTACTTCTCAAGGGCACAATTTTAAGTCTACCTTGAACAATCTTAAACTAATTTTCTCCTATAAATACAATGTCTCATTTAACGTGCTAATGTCTAATTTAATACCTTTTTTAAAGGTATATCCACCTTTTGACACACATTTAGATACTTATCATCGTTCCTCTAGAGCTAAAATTTAATTAATGTCAAGTAATGCACACCAAACATGCACTCTATTCACTTAGAGCATTTCCATGAACTACTTCATTGCTGGAGCAGTATGTTCTACCAACAACGCCAAAAGTACATCCATTCCTCCCTTTTTATTAGTTTTTCTCCTCCTTCATTAATTCAAAACGAAATAAAAAATAAAAAATAAAAAAAAAATATATATATATATATATATATATATATATATATCAAAATTAAAAAATGGTAGACCCCCTTGCAAATTTACATAAAGCCATCCCCAAAAATTGTTAAACACCAAATCTCATCATGAATCCACACAAAATTTAACATCCCAACTATTTTCCTTCCATAAAAGGGAATAAAAACTTGCTCTACCTTCTAAAAGAAGTAGTTCTTCGACCCCATTTGTCCTCAAACGGATTTCCTTCAAATGGAGGGTTGGCATCCTCTTGCTGCTGATGCTTTTGTGACATTTTCAAAGCCCAAGATACAAAGCACTAATTTCACTATGCTTCGATATACTGTACCATGTAGAGCTAGAATAGCATTAAAAAATTCATGGACCTGAGATTGCGATAACAGCGTTGTTTGTTGAGCAAACGTAAAGACCAACATGCGGTATCCAATGAAAATAATTCAACTACACTATGAATACAATATCTACAACTTTTTATGATACTATTCACTGTCACGTGCATTGCAATAATTTGTATTTATCGTATTTTTATTAGTGTATGAATTTTAGTTTTTTGGAAAGTTTTTGAAATAATATCTAGAAATATTTCCATGATATAAGAAATGATTGCAAATTATTTTTACAATTGTAACAGTATTGTGTTATCTAAAAAAAATATGCTTATATATTTCATACTTGAATAAGAAATATACGATGTTATACAAATTATTTGGCTTGTATTCTTTGATATTGTTGATATGATTGAGTTGAATGTGAAAATTATATTTCTAAATTTTGTGTAATTCAATATTGAAAAATTGAAGATTGAGCACAAAAATATAAATCGACTTGCATATTCATATGCGTTTTATATTTTGTCCTTCATATATTTTAATATTTATTTTATGCTTATGTTGAAAAAATAAAAATCTGAATTTTTTTTCTAACATTCGATTCGGTAAGTGAATGTATGGCGTTCTGCATTCTCTGTATTTATAAGTGCAAAAATCGGTATATACGTTAAACTGCAAATACGGTAGGTAGCACATACGGGAAGCTGCAAATACGATAAATTACCTGCATATACAATAAGCTGCAAATACGATAGACAGCATATATGGTAAGCTGCAAATACGGTAGATAACATATACGGTATTGAAATTTATTGTAGTGGACAAAACCAGATTCATTCATATCGTATAT